AACATTAAGGTTCTCCAGAGAAAGACATGGGCTCAAAACCTTTAGAAAGTCATTTTTGGCTCTGGGGGATGAGCATTAAGAATTCCCAGGAGAAATGGGAAGACAATCTCATTCTCCTCTCCCAGCTCCCTTGAGAATCCAAACCTCAGCACTGAAATCGCTTGAGGACCTATCTGGCTGACTGAAGTATCCATTGCTTCTTTCAAACTGTGTTCAACATGTTGAGAAGTGTATTTGCTTTCGACACTGTTTTTTGTTTTGTTTTTTGGTTGTTTTTTTTTTTTTTCACTTTTCCTGTATATTATGTGATTATTTTTTATCTTACTAGCACAACCAAGTGAAATGCACTTTAATATCAGTATTTGACTAGGAAGGATCAAAAGGCAAAACAGTGATAAAAAATCCTTCTTTGATGTATTTTTTATGTTTCTGAAGGGAAAAAAAATAGTGAAGTTGAAATAGATTACTTAGTCTCCCGTCCCAATCTCTGACAAGATGACTTTTTCAATAAAACTCAAATATGGAGTTAGAACAAAGATGGCGTACAGAAGATATTTAAATGGTTTTCAGGATCTCAATCTTCCCCACGGATGTCCACACACCTTACTCACTCCTATCAGGTTCTGGTTAGCAGTGTTTGCTAACAGGCTTTAAAACAATTACAAAAAAAATGCAATGTAAATTGATTTTTAAGCAAATATTTTTCGTTAATTTCAGCAATTGCAAAATGTTATAGTTAAAATACAGGTTGAATCCAGCCTGATAAAGTCTATCTATGCATTCCTATGGCTTCTCAACCAGGAAGCAGAACTGTGACATAGTTGAAAAACTGCTCTTTATTTGTTCCATTGGGACCATTTGAAAAAACCTCATCAAATAAGCATATTCATTCACACTTCGGTGCCTGGTCCACTTTAGAGACAATCTATGCAATTCTTAAAGCACGTGGTTTCAGAAATAAACTGGATTTCAAGTGATCTTGACTCAAAGGAAATAGCTCCCTCTATCCCCCAAAATTTACTTATTTGTGAGTCAGAGCTATTAGGCTAGTCAGGAGCTATCAGGGCAGAAAGTCTGACAACGTATCAAGAGACAAAAGACTCAACCATCCCCCTTCCTAAGCATCTCTTCATTTCAGTGCTTTGAAAGTAATTCTGGCAACCTGGAGTTTTAGATTTTATCTCTTTCCCTTTCCTCAGTCTCCTTTGGAGAGGTGCTGGCAAGCTGGCAATAGTAGTCTAAACAGAAGAAGTGCTGATTGTCAGTGAAGGAACTTTGTGTGGACAAAGTCTGCCATACAAGGTGAAAAGATTCATTCACAAGATAGTTAAATGCCTCTAAATAGTTAGGAATTTTCTTAATTGCATAATGAATCTCAGATGTTTGCATTACAATGAAAGGAGAGAAATTTGTAATGATAGTATCATTATAGTAGAACATAGGGCCATTTCAAGATAGAGAAAAAAATGTTCATTTATCGTCTTCTCTTAAAATTATATTGCAACAATAATAGTAATTATTATTAATAATAGTGCTTAATTATAATTATACTTACTTTATTATTCAGTACTATTACTATTATTGCTAGTACTTACTCTGAGCCAGGTACTATGCTAAAGTCATTTTATGTATTATCCCATTTGATTGTCAGGATAATTCTGAAATTGGGTACTATTACAGTCATTCAATTTATAGACTTAAGTTTATAGAGCTATAAGAATTTCAAGTTAAGTAGCAGAATTAAGCTTGAAATTTGCACTAGACAAAGTTAAAGAGGTAAGGAACACTTTATTTAAGTCTCTTGCAGTAAGGGAGGCCAAAACTAAGTCAAACTGAATTCCTCTAAAACAAAGCGTGGGTGGGTTTCTAAGAATTGGGGTGAGAAAGGTACCATATCTTAGGCCACTGTGCTTTCTAATTGGCTGTACTCAAAGGAAAAGTAAACTCTCTCATACTTCATGACAATAGGTAGTTTTACAACTTAGAGTGAGGAGACCTCTGAAGTTAGGCTTCTACCTTGTCACAAAAACTGGGAGATAGGGGCTCTATCTTCTTGGATAATTATATAGTCATGCCTCACTTAATGATGGGGATATATTCTGAGAAGTGCATTGTGAGGTGATTTTGTCTCTGTGCAAACATCATAGAGTGTACTTACACAAACACCGATGGTATAGCCTACTATACACCTAGGTGATATGGTGTAGCCTATTGCTCCTGTGCTACAAACATATACACCATGAATACTGCAGGCAATTATAACACAATGGCAAGTATCTGTATATTTGAACATGTCTAAACATAGAAAATGTACAGTAAAAATATGGTATAAAGGATAAAAAATGGTACACAGGTATTGGATATTTCTTATGAATGGAGCTAGCAGGACCGGAAGCTGTTCAGGGTGAGTCAGTGAGTGAGTGGTGAGTGAATGTGAAGGCCCAGGACATTACTCTATAATATTGTAGACTTTTATAAACACTATACACTTAGGCTATACTAAACTTATAAAGAGAGAAATTGTGCTATGACATGATGACAGGTACAATGTCATCAGGTGATAGAAATTTTTCATGTCCCTTATAATCTTATAGGACCACTGTCATAAATGTGATCTGTCATTAGCCAAAGTGTCATTATGTAGTACATGACTTTATTTCAAAGGGATTGACCAGTCCTGGATTGCAAAACTGGCAAGTTTAGTATAGCCTAAGTGTATAGTGTTTATAAAAGTCCCAGGTTCTTGACCAGTCCTGGATTGCAAAACTGGCAAGCTGCTTTTAAAAAAGAAGAAGAGAAAGGATTTACAATTATATGTTTTCTAAAGTAAATTATCTAAGATAAAGGGATGTTAGGGCTAGTGTCAGGAAGAAGGCTGTCTCAAGTTTAGTCTAGGTGAGAGGATAAGGCCTTCTTGGTCATTAACAGTCAGAGCTCATCTTTACCCCCATGTATGAGAATCCATAGCAATGGAAAAAGCAACTAACAATGAAAAAAATATTTTTAAACTTTCTATTTGTTTCTTTGCTTCATTGAGTTTCCTTTCTCCCATTCTCAAAATGGGATTTCTCTAGATCTGTAGATTACAAGTCACATCTCTTAAGTCCCAGGGATTTAAGGAGCTAGGAGATGCCAAAGATTGGTAGGAAAGTTTGACAATGGGTAAGAAATTCTATGGACTATCATTTTGCTCTTAGGAGGATAAATTTATAATGTTTTCAAACTGGACTTCTGCTTAAAGCTTTGTTAGAAAAATAAAAACACAGAGGGGTGTTTTCTTGCCAAGAGCAAGTGTGATAAGCAATAGTAATTTCTTTAGAGGAACTGCCATGTATATGTATGGCTGCATGGCTACTGTTATCACAAACAGCTCATGAAGACACGATCCACTTCCAATCATATATGTAACATGAAGGCATGAATGTCATAAACCTATCCTGTGCCCCAGCCCTGCACACATACATACACATGCTCTTCTACACCAAGGCATGCCAACCATTAATCTAAGAATAAGGCACAGATGCATAGACAATCCCATCTGCCTACATGGTGTTTAAAATGTATTTTCTCAATAAATTGAATGCATCATAATATTCTGCAGCACAGAAGAAGATCACGAGTGACACAGAAACATTTTTGCCAGATTGTGGTAGAATAAAATTCTAATTTATACAATATAAAGAAGGGTGGTGAAATTCATAAAGTCTTCAAATTAAAATCACTTATATTCCAAAGTTTAATACGTTGTGGCTTCTTTGTAATATAAAACACCCTCTATAACAATTAATTTAACTCAGCATCTCCACTTCCTTTTAATATTTCTCAAAATTAATATTCTGTGGAATATATACTATCATTGCACTAGAAATTTTTACAGATGCTGGAAGTTCTTAATCATTTAATCTCTTAATTGTCATGTTGTATTAGTAAAGAAAGGCAGGGTTAGCTGGTTACTGCTCTGTATAGACACCAATGTTCACATTGGAGCTTGTTGTGTTCAGAAAATATCTCATAAAGCAGCAAAAATAAAGAAAGTCATAATTATTGATTCTCATGATTTCAAGAAAGCATGTCAGCATGTAGGAAATGAAAAAGATTAAGTTATAAAAGAAAAGACCAATTTAAGGTGAGGTGACAGTTGAATGCCAGGAGTTTGCAAAAATGGAGTTTTCTTGAAATGACATCTTAGCCTTGGCCACATTCATGCTCACTATCTTCATTCTCCATCACCGCCTGTAGAAATGCTTACAGGCTGTACTTTTTCTGGCTACAGCTATTGCTTTTAAACATATACTTTCTCCCCACCACCCTATTGTGGAAGGGAACAATTGCATGTCATTTACCTTACTTGTGGCTAGTAGCAACAAGAAGTATCTGTAAAAAGGAATATTTTTAAAAACAGGCTATTTTTATAGTACTCTGAAATGCCTAGGCTATTTTTATGCATCCAATTCCCTCCCCACAAAAAGGGAGTACTTTTCAGCAAAGGAAATTTTATATGTAGAGTTTTATAAATTAATTGTGTGCTGTTAATCTCAATCTCAAGAATAAAAAACAAAGTAACTCCAATTTACAGCATTGACAATTTCCATCCTGTAAATAGTCTCATTTTCAATGATTTTATCAAGGTAACGAAACTGGAGACAGAGTTGGAAAGGAACATACTGCATCCTGCAGTGGCACACCACCAGAGTTATTGGCACGTACAAGATGGAAGGCTTAATATATTCATTCTTCACTGAACAATTCAACACCATGTTGCCTTAAGCAAAGTAAGTTAGTACACAGGAATTTAGTCTTTGAACTTAATCACTCCCTTAGAATTTGATAACAGAGGGACTTATGTTTAAATATGGGATATGGGGCATTTGAATGTTGTTGTTGTTTTGAGATGGGCCTTGCTCTTTTGCCCAGGGTGAAGCGCAGTGATAATCATGCCTCACTGCAGCCTCAAATTCCCAGGCCCAAGGAATTCTCCTGCCTCAGCCTCCCGAGTAGCAGGGACTACAGGCATGTGCCATCACAATGAGCTATTTTTAAATTTTTATTTTTGTAGACACAGAGTCCCACTACGTTGCTCGGGCTGGTCTACAACTCCTGGACTCAAGTGATCCTCCACCTTGACCTCCCGAAGTACCGGGATTACAGGCACTAGCTACTGCACTCAGCCCAATGTTGTTGGCTTTTATTAAAGGAATGCCCTTGATACTTTGATGATATTAGCAGTATGGCTAAATATGATGGAAATAGAACAGTGAGTAAAATTTCAGGCTGATAATAGAGTAGCCTAGGAGTTAATGTGCATTGTATGCACTCAAAGTACTCTTCTGACCCATTTCAGAGCCTTCTCTGAGCAAAATCTAATTATCTACCCATTATCTGAGAAAGATTGTCTGTGATGGATCTAACCCATGAAAGATAAAAGCAAGACTGTTTTGACCCAGAACCAATTGTCTCCCATGAGGAACAAAGTCATTTTCTGAATGACTTTTGTTTAGATATATAGCCAAAGCCATTGGTTAAAGGCCAAAACATTTTGCTGTGGAATGTGTTTTTTCAGCAGTCTCCTTATCCCTGGTTTAGTCTTCAGGTTGGCTTATTGCCATTAGGGTATCAACACTCTTCATTCAAGTTACAACAGCCTTCTTAGAAATAACCTCACATCTCTCCTCAGAATAGGATGTGACTTATCTGGTGAGAATGGCTGGCTCAGCCTTCACTTCCTAACTACAGAGATGTTGAACTCCTGGCTGCTCTCTTGGTGACTTGTTAAATGTAGTGGAGCTGGGTCTGCCCTGCACCCTGGAAGGCAGCAATCTGGGTGCTAAGCACAATTCAAAGGAAAGTTAGCAAGCTCATGAATTTGCACTACCAAAACCTCTCCTCCGATGTGTCTTTTCCTGTTAGGAACCTAACCCCCATGCTGCCACTCTCCCTCAACGGTTCTGAACTCCACTTAGGAAGAGATATAATTGATATTTCAAAACCCAGTCACTTTTTTTCAATTTTCTTCTCTGAAGTCTTTTTATAACACCAATTCTGGTGCCAAAAGTATGGAGTATTTTTCTTCACACCAATCAATTATCTGACACCAACTGAGCGTCCTACAATTTAATTAAATTCTGACTAACTACCCAGAGTGAGCATTGGGCTCCACATGATTAAAATCTCAGGCCACAGACTTCTCTGACTTCAGAGACCAGTTGCAAATAGTGGGTGCCCAGGTTACCACATTTCTGCCCCCCTTGGCTGCAGGGTCACGGTCCCCGTGACTTCTTGCTCAGTTTTGATAATTTTCTAGAATGGCTCAAGAACTCAAGGAAACACTATTTACTATCACAGATTTATTATAAAGAATACAAATGAACAGCCAGATGAAGAGGTAAGTATGGTGAGGTCCAGAAGTGTCCCAAGTATAGGAGCACCTGGTCTGTCTCCATGAATTGCAGTGCACCACCAGAGTCTGAGCATATGAATGTGTTCACCAACCTTGAGGCTTTCCGAACCCCGTTGTTTAGGGGTTTTTAACAGAAGCTTCATTCAGTAGCCATGATTGATCAAATCATTGGTCATTTGTGATTAATTCAATCTCTAGCCCCTCTGCCCCCAGAGAGGTTAGGAGAGGGGAAAGACAGAAATAGGGCTGAAAATTCCAAATCTCTAGTCTCATAGCCGATATCTTGAAGCTGTGTAACGAGCCCACCAAGAGTCACCTCATTATCATAAATAGGGATGAAAAAAAGTGGCTTATTGGGAATACCAAAATACCTTCCTCATACCCCTATCAGTCAGAAAACTTCAAGGATGTTAGAAACTCTGTGCGAGGAACCAGGATGAAGACCAAATATATATTGCTGATTATGTCACAAGATCACACTTTGTTTTATGGAAGTACATCTCTGTTATCCACTTATTTTCATCTAAGTGAAGTTTTGGAAGAAAGTAAATATAGTAGCTTATGTTCAGTCTTCAGTTTAACCTGTCAATTTTGTCCCTGAGAATTGCAATGCTTGTGGAGCAAGCACATTAAGAAAAACTAGCATTTGATTAAGCACCAATGAATTACAGCTAATTAAGTTCTACCTGTATCTGACTTTTTGAAACGTTACCTTAATAGCTGCATGTATTAGTCTGTTCTTATACTGCTATGAAGAAATACCTGAGACTGGGTAATTTATAAAGAAAACAGGTTTAATTGACTTACAGTTCCACATGGCTGGAGAGGCCTCAGGAAACTTACAATCATGGCAGAAGGCACCTCTTCACAAGGCGGCAGGAGAATGAGTGCCAGGAAGGGAAATGCCAGGTGCTTATAGAACCATCAGTCTCACGAGAACTCACTCACTATCAGGAGAAGAGCATGGTGGAAACCACCCCCATGAGTCAATTACCTCCCACTGGGTCCCTCTCACTACACGTGGGGATTATGGGATTGCAATTCAAGATGTGATTTGGGTGGGGACACAAAGCCAAACCATATCACTGCACAATTCAAATTGTGGTCTGGAAACGGCTTCATTGTCATTAGTTTGAGTGTTTCTGTTAAAGATTCCATGCCAATTAATGACCTTAGGCAGGAGTCGGTAATAATTATTTTCACTCAAGCACTCCAGGTGATTCTTATGTAACACCTATTTCTATATGGGTCGGGGGGCAGGGAAGAGAGAGAAAGATCATTAAATTACACAGTAAGAAAAAAACATAGAAGAAAAAAGATGTGGCCTAGAAATTAATGATACAATGGTAAAGGCAAAAGGTGATTTTATGAGAATTCTACCAACAAAATAAAAGTTCTGGTTCTGGAGAAATCGCTTGGCAGACTGATCTTCCGCTCTTCCGTTCCTTTCATTTGATCTAGTGGCTCTCAACACCAGCAGGCTTCCAAATCACCTGGAGGGCTTGTTAAAATGCACATTTGTTGGCCCAAGCCCCAGAGTTTATTGGATGTTGTCTGAAAATTTGCATTTCTAACAAGATCCAGGTGATACTTATGTGCTGGTTAGGGAACCTCACTTGAAAATCACTGCTCTGCTACTGCCACCCAAACACTAGCTTTCAATGGTACAAAGACATTAGGAGAATTGGGAATACATGGATTTGGATGTAGGCATAATAATTGAGATGAGGAGAAAATGTTTTCATTAGCAACAACTGGGTCATCTAACTGGAATGCATTTCTTTCACTCATATATTCATCCAAAACATTCCAAAGATTATATAAAAATAGCAACAAACACGGTTTCAATGTCATTTTTTATATGCATTAAAAATGATTCTACTTTTTCAGAGTGTTTTCACGTGCATTAACTCTTTGTATTCTCACAAGGATACATTGAAGCTAACACGTTACATTGTACTTATTTCCATTTTCCAAATAAAAGCTAAAGATAAATGAGTCTGGTTTTCCAGGTTCACATCACTAAGAAGCTCCAGAGATGGAACTATTACCCAAGTTTTGTCACTTCCAATTTAATATTCTTTCTACTGCATCACTCTGGCTTTTAAATAAGACAAACATGAGAAATCTGTGGCTACTCACAGCTATAATTAAGTGAGTGCCAGTATATAAAAGCAATGATACCTCATGGTAGGGCTAAGATTAAAGTAAGGCAAGTGAGGTACTCACCTTGGGCACAAAATTTCAGAGGGTAACAGAAAACAGAATCATCAAGAAAGCAGTAATTAAAGGCAATATTTTAGAAAGTCAAAATTAATGTAAAAATGATGAATAAAATATTAAAAATTTTGAGTAAGTACGGGTTGTTTGTTTTACAGTAGTCATTACGGTGCAGTGCAAACAGTTTTTTGACCTTGTTTTATGCAATAGGACCATTTTTAACCAGCCCTTGGTTCCTGGATCCACATGACTGTTGTGTTCCCAGCTAGGCAGGGTTATGAGTGTCGACAGTGGTGTATGAACAGATTGAGAGACACGGGGCTTTATATATAGTCATGTCTTTTGATCACAGAGCTTACATGATCGTTTCTACTGGGTTTAACATATTTTAGGATATTCTGGTAAATGTATATCGGGCTCACATTTTCCCTTTTGCTTCCTGCAAGGCAGTGTCTCATGGCTCAATTCTTGATAGAAGACTTCTGGAGTTTCTACCAAGATCTGAACAAAGAGAAGGGAAAAAGCAATTTACCTCTAATGTGAAAGGAAGACTTCAGTTCCATATCCACTTTAATAGTATCAGTCTCAAAGTGGCCTAATAGCTTTGAAACTTCATTTGCCTTCTCAGCAATGGCAATTGGCAATTCAGGTTTACAATCCCAGAAGCTCAAAGAAAATGAGCGGCTAACGTAGGAAGTTTTAGGCGACAGGGATCTGAGACATCAAAAATATGTTAAATATGTTAATTTGGCTTCTGTAATTGACAACAGACATGGCAAGGTCTGTTGACTTAAATCCTTGTTGCTGCAAGTGGTTTCTTTGACAATCCCTTATGAAGTTCATTTGTAAACATGTTTCTATGTTAGCATAAATGATTTTGACACAAAAGCCTGCATAAGGTTTTTTAATTCTCTGAACATCTTCCCCCACCACTTCAACTATTCAATTTTGTGAATAACCATGGTAATTACAACTGTCATTGTTAGTGTCACTTTAATGAGAAAAATAATTTTCTGCGGTGCTTTTTAACAATGCAGATTTCCAACCTCCATTTCTAGATATTCTAAATCAATAGGCCTGGGATAAAGATAAGTCATTTGCATTTTTAACAAGCAATCCGGTGACTTTGATATAGGTGGTAGCCCACAGGTCAAGATCCCTGGGAACCAGACCCTAGATTAAAGATTTGCTTATAAAGAATTTATTGGGAAATGCAGTCCAGATCAGTTCCTGTGGCGAAGTGGTGAGTGAGCAGAGAGTGAGGACACATAACAGCCTCTGCCATCCTATGAGGAGCTCCGGAGCTATAAGGGCTCTTGAGAAACGTTGAAATTAAATTGAGAGGCTGGAATCTTTTACCCTCCCTCTCATCAAGCTGTCCCAAGTCACTGTATACAGGCTGTGCAGGGATGGAGGTTTGTCCCTGGGAAAAGTGGCTCTTTTCCTGAGAAGGGAAAAAGAGACTTCCACATCTAGTCTGTGCGATTACATCTCCCAGGCAGGATTCAGCTGAGGCCATGTGGCTAGCACTGGCCAAAGAACTGCAGTTAGAAGGTATGCCTTCACTTCACTTCTAAACTAGATAGTATAAGAAAAGACTTATCTCTTCTGATCTGTAAACAAAAGAGGTCACATATTCCAGCTAGTACAGCTACAATACTGTGGGAGTCTCCATGATCGTGAGTTCCTGAGTGCTAGTGCAAAATGAGGCCCTTAAGCCAATTGCAATGGCAAATGAAGCATGAACTAGAAAAACAAACGAACAAACAAACAAACAAAAACTGCTTTTAATCTACTAGAACATTAATTTTATAATGCAGCATTATCTCAACCATCCTTACTAAAATAATGGCCACATTTCTGTTGTAAACGGCATAGGACCAGTCTTGTCTAGTGATATCTATGATTAGACGGAATTACATCTCAAGAATTTTACCAAGCTTGGCATTGGTAAAAATAGTATCTTTGAAAAGCAGATAACAGTCTCCAGACGGCAAAGGAGAGGTGATCTCTGACTGGCTACCACTTTGGGATGTGCTCTCCCTTGCCATCTGCTATAAAAAAAGACGAAGCATTCCCCTATATATATTCAAGACACGATAAAAGGAAACCATATTATTGTACGGCCTTGAATAAGGATAAGTGTGTGTGTGTGTGTGTGTATATATAATCATTTATATATAATTTATATGTATCATTTATATATACATTATTTGTATATCAAAAATATATAAATATATAGAATATATATATATATTTAAATGCATTTTCCCTGGTGTCAAATGAGGAGGTTCACCACCTTTCTCTTTGCTTAATTTCCTTTTGAAAATTAGTAATTGTAAATTCTTTCTCTCTCCTGTAGAGATGTGTATAAACATTTTAAAAAAGCAAAATAAGCCTCTGGCGGTCTTATAACCCAGTAATGTTTTTTCTTGAAGACCTTGGAGCCATCTCTTTGAAATGGAAACATCAAGGGAAACAGCATCCCAACCTGTCTGTCTCTGAGGGAGTTTAACCCAGGCACCTGGCTCCACATTGTAACAACCTGCCTTCTAGAGAGATGTGGGAAATTTTGTTTCTCCTTCAGATAAAAGCAATTAACTCACACAGGTGGCCATTCTGATTACTACCTGAATTTGGACTAAATTACCTATATCAATAGTGCTGTCAATGCCTCCTGCTTGATATCGTATTTCACCTTGAGAACGTGTATGAAATGAATTGTACCTGCCTTGCTATTTAAAAATTGAAATTTATTTCTCTCTTCCTAACCTCTAAGTTGATTTCCTGTTATGTACAACACAGTCTGGTTAATGGTAATTTGATTTTTTTAAAAACCCTGTTTGATTCTTTTATTCATTTGTTTACAAGATTCACTGGCTTAACAGAAGATTCTACGTGTATTTACTTATTTTTCCCAATACCTGAAATGTAAGAAGAAAAATGGCTTCTGATCAATTATTTTAAAATAACTTTATCACTGTTTTTTACATCATCCAAAATTTAACTGACATTGTGTCTTAGTCCATTTTCTGTTGCTTATAATAGAATACTTAAAAGTGGATAATTTGTAAAGAAAACAAATTTATTTTTTACAAATAGGGAGGCTGATGAACCCAAGATTCAGGGCCTGCATCAGGTGAGAACTTTCCTGCTGGCGGGGACTCTGCAAAGGCCAAGGCAGCACAGGTCATCACACAGTGAGGGGGCTGAGCTTGGAGCTCTGGCCTCTCTTACTTTTTTTGTAAAAACACCAGTCCTACTCCCATGATAATCCATTAATCCATCAACCCATTATTCTGTCAATTCCATGAATGGATTAGTCCATTCATGAGGGCAGAGTCCTCATGACCCAATCACGTCTTACAGGCACCACCTTTCAATACTGCCATAGTGGAGATGAAGGTTTAACTTGAGTTTCAGGTAGGACAAACACTCAAACCACAGCAGTGAGCAACCTCGTAAATCAGGTGATCACACACAATCATACGGGACTTAATGGTTCACCCAAATTGCCTCACAGAATTCCTCGTTGTGTTTGTTGGGCTAAAATTTGAATAGTAAATGAGTACTTCAATGAGATGATTTTTATGATTGTGATAGATAATTAGTATCAACCTATGTTAATTTTTTCCAGATTACAAAGCAATCATTTTATTTGGTCATGTTTTAGAGTATAGGAATTTAGAACTTTGACCATCAATTTTACATGTCACTCCCATCATAGAAACAGAAGGGAGAACAAAAATTAGAATTACCTGTAAACATTTGCTTTGCTGACTTCCTCGTGAAGATAAAGTGGCCTTCTATTCAGGCCTACATTTTCAAAAATATCTGGGGAGCCAACGATCAGCCTGTTCTGATCACCTTCTATTCACCCTACTGGTGAAGGAGGAATCCCACATTGGTAAATAGTATGAGATGACCAAACAGGAAACCAACAGTGGTCAGAGGGGACTGATGATGTCTTATTAATGACATATTCACAGGATATGGGAGACGGATGCTATATGCCATGCAGAGCCACAAGGTTCATTCAGATGCAGAATGAATCATGAGGGCTGTGGGAGGCAGGCTTTGTAGTAACAAGAGGGTAAAATAACCTTTGATTCTCTTAGGAGAATGAAATTTGTTTATTTAAAAAATTTTATACGGTGGCAAGGAAGTGAAACCCATTTTGTTGAGGACCAGGTGAGATACAGTTGATTGAGCTGGGTGGAGAGTCTGCCCTGTTGTGTGAGGGCATGTCTAACTAGAGCAGGAAAACTCATGGCAAGGCCTCTGGGGCCCAGTGGTGCTTACAGATGTCAAAGAAGCACTTAAAATTTACGTCTTACAATACAAAGTCCTAAATAAATACAAAATTGTGCTGTTTGAACATCTGGTACATCACAAAGAATGTAGTTAAAATCATGGTTACTGACGTATCTAAAATTACGGTTACAAATATTGTTAATGAGGATATTTTAAAAATTCTTCTTGCTCATTTTATCTTATAATTAGTTAAGATAGTAAAATAAGTAGAAGCACATATTTACATGTATATGTGTACATACATACATGCAAATATTAATACACTTTTTAACACTCCATAAAGGAAAGTAACCTGCCTTTGGTGCCATTTAGTTCCATTTAGGGATCAAAACAAATTGCATATTACCTGATTATTGGTCAAAGGCTTTTGAAAAGTTAGCAGGGTTGATCAAATTTTGACTGTTTCTGAGTATTTTCAAAATTTCAGTACTATTGCAACATAACCAAAGCAAAAATGTATTGAAGGAGCTAATCTGCATAAGTGAAGCATATTTCAAATTTAACTGGTTTTAAAGCCACCTCCATATTTATTATTATATATAAAAAGCAGATTATGTTTCAAAGATCACTGTTTTTGTTTTTGTGGCATTTTTCAAGGTAATAATTACTAAAAAATAATTATAAGACCAAGAAGAATTTTTTTAATATAAAATTTATGGTAAAATGTGTATAATTTTTAAAAATGTACTGTAACAATGCAACTTCTATTGGTAATTCAGCCTTCATACAAATGTGATTCGTTTACTGCATTCAAAATTTTTAGGAGCTACTTAAAGTGACAAGTGAGTAAATACATTGGGTTTCATGAAACAACATTTTATTAGATCTATTTTTGTTCTCCAATAATCTTTTTCAGTATATAAAATTACTGTTGTTTGTGATTTGCGCAGCCTGATAAACGCTTATTATCCAGTAACCACTGTGTTGTGAGAACGCTCTGAGACTAGATCTATGAGATCTCACTGAAATGTATAAACAAAAAAATTTACCTTCTTAATTTTGTTTTCTTTTTAGATACAGGATCTCCCTGTGTGGCCAAGGGTGTCTTGAACCCCTGGGTTCAGGGGATCCTCCCACCGTAATCTCCTGAGTAGGTGGGACTACAGAAGAGGTTCATGGCACTGTACCATCTTAATAATTTACTTTTTTGAAGGTGGTAATTTTCTTTGTGCCAGTAATCATAACAA